TCATGCATATTTGTAAAAACCTACAACCTTGCACTTGAGTGCCTGAATTTAAGCACTTACAGCCAGCTTTTTCAAGGCATTTCGTTATTTAAACCTAGAGATGGGTTCCTCATGCGATCATCTACTTTTGCTAGTGAGATAAGCACCCACTGGGAGCTTGCTACAACTCCTCATGGAGAAGTACCTCTCAGTATTTGATCCCTACCTACATGCTGAATCACAGAATGGTTTGGGTTGGAAGGGACCTTAAAGATCATCTAGTTCCAACCCCCCTGCCATGGGGGGTTAGGGTTACCTGCCGATGGCAGGGGTTTGGAACTAGATGTACGTAGTTTGCTCAGGCCCCTTTAAATAAAGCCATTAGACCTGCTGCTCATTGGTTTTGAAAACATTAGCTTTGAGAAATTTATCATTTTCATGCAAACTAGGCTTGCAGTCTTCCTTCTGAAATTCAAGGGACGTTATCTTTTTGCGATGAATTGCACTGGGGAAAACCCCTCCTAACTAATGATGTATTTTCATTTCCTGCACCATATTTCTTCAATCACCTTATCAGTACATTCCTTGCCAAGGGTTACGAAAGGAACCTTGCATCTTTGTCAAAATTGATCTCCTAGCAGAAATATTATGAGGCCACCTAAGATCCTGCAGCGAGAGCCAAGAAAAGGATGCAGAGGCAAATAACTCTAAAAGAATTATTCAGAAAAAAAAAAAAGTGTGTGCATATCCTATTTGAGTGTTCAAAGATGTGCTCCTGAAGCATAATACAGTTGAGGAGTCGGGCATTTTGTAAGGTGGTTATTCCATGTCAAAGAGCGAAGCTATTTAATCTCCCATTAAACAACACAGAACAACAACAAAAAAAAAACCAATAAAAAAAAAACTAAGCTCCTCCCCCTGCAAAACCTCTGCTTATCTGGAGCCCAAAAGGAATCTGCAGATGTATACCCCCTGCGTGAGAACAAAGTCTTCAGTCACTGGAATGTAATGCTATAAAAACAAATACTACAAAGCCTGGTAACAGGGGGATGTCTCACTTGCATATTTTTTTGTGACCATCTTGCTTTGCAGAGAAGGGGGTCCCCAAAGCATGTGAGCCAGCAGGATCCCTTTGTACTAGGTCGCTGTCTGTTTGGCCAGATGTCTTCCCAACAGTGAGATAGAAAAACCAGAGCTCTTATTAAAATAAGTCAGGGAAAGGCATGGAAAAAAGCATGTGTCCAGCGAAACGGGGCACATTGTGTCCCATCTGATATTTATTAAACGTTGATCAAACCATCAGTGAGAAATGCACATCATGCGGAAGTGACCCTGGCTCCCTGGGTTTGGAAGTTAGTGACAAATGTCTGGGAGCAGACCAACGTTGAAAACACGTGTACAGGACACTGAGAGGAGCGTGCTGCCCTAGGAGCAACAATAACAAACGGGGACGAGCCGAGAACCCCCTTTTGCAGGTTTGACATATGGTCTGTTGACAGAATGGGCCTTTCCTTGTACATATACTCTACAGCCTTCTAGATGAGGTTACACATCTACTGTAAGAGCACTGCATTTTATGTAAGCCATGAAAGCAAGCAGTTGAGTGGGTAAAAATGGGGAGGGAAATTTTGTCAAACTAAAGCTCAAGCATGGTCTCCTTCAAGCCTTGACTCAGCTTTTGTGATAAACCTGTATAATTTTATATGTGCAATCACAATGAGCATTTGAAATCACCTCCCATCTGTTGGTGCTTGATGTTTTGGCTACCAGAGCACCCTTTCCATAACAACAGGGTCCTCACGGCACGGACTAAATGCATCTTCTGTAACAGAACAAGTTTATTTGGGCTTGGTCCTTAAATAGGGTAGTGGGGAAGAGCAACAGGGCAGATTGAAGCCAGGCGCCATGCTCGGGGAGGTTGTGGAGCCCAGATTACAGTATAATTCATCCCTGTGCAGAGGGGTGCATTCCTGGCTTTTACCTTTCCTCATAGCCTGGATTATTTAACTGCGCAGAAAATCGTCAGAATGAGTCTTCCCAAACTTTTCTTCAAGGTACCTCTTTCTTTAGTAATTTTTATATGTTTAGCAAACTGGAAAGTCAGCTGTTGCTAACAGCAGAGTTAGGAACTATGTATTTTCACTGAAGAGTAAATTTAATAGCTCTGAAAGACTTTACTGTGTCCATCTCTAGGCAAAGGAAAACAAAAGAACATGTTAAAGCTCCCTGGCTTTTTACTCCAGTCCTGGACCTGGGGCACATTAGATGAGAGTATCGGGGGTCCGATGGCAGTCAGATGCAGTTTTAAACTGACAGGCAAAAAGCACCAGCAGGCAATGCAGCGCACATTTCCAGCCCAGCTTAGTTAATGGAATCTCTCCTGCCTGTATGATCACTTTAGTACACTGTGTTTACGTTATTGATACCAACAGGGCTGGACTGTTAAAGGATGGAAAGGTCTGGCTTTTGTTGGGGTGCTGTTCTGATGTCAGTTTGAAATACTCTGAAAGTAAAAGTTCCGAAAAGCCAAAGTGCTGTTTTATTGACCCAGCGGTAGAGAGGACTGAGACAAGTGAAACAAGATCCTTAGGAAGCACTGGAGCATACATGATGCTAGATGCTGAACTGCAATACATCCAGTGACATCAGCGAAGTTTCAGCTCATTACACTACACAGGAAGCCGGAGTATGGTGACAGAAAGCAGGTCATGTCATAAAACGAGTAATCTTAATACGAGACTGTAATCAAGTGGAACTTTTCTGTGTGCAGTTGCTGTCAAAGGTTCTGTTTTTATTTCTGACTTTCTCTGTGCTTTGTACCTCTGCAGTCTATCAGTCTTCCCAGTTAGGGATCTGGTCCTGCTTTCATTACCATTAAAACAGGGAGGATCAAGCTTTTTCTTCTCTGTGTATTTAGAAGGTGAATGTGATGTGCTTTGTGCCCCAAGCTTCTCATGTTTCACGATATGCAGGATGTTCAAAGACTTGCAGGATCAGAATCTGGATTTAAAACCCTTTGGATGAGAGAGGAACCTTGCATTCACTGCACAGGGGCTCAGTGATCCCATTAGTACCAGCTAACAGCAGCAAAATGGGGTCCCAGACACTACCAGTTCCCACTGTGAAATAATTTCAGTCTCTGAATACCTATTGCAAACTTTTAGAAAACTGCACTTTCTCCCTCCAGCCTCTTCAGCAAGCAGAGCAAACTCCTTGAGATTGTCAACCAAACAAAGAAAGCCCGCTCACACATCAGGATCCACAAGCAAACTTGGCTACTGAGTTATGGACCCTTCACCTTTTTTTTGTAGTGCCGGAGTTATCAGCCTTCCAAGTCCAAGTCACCAATGAATGGGCTATGCAACTGCCTGCCTCCGTTCCTGCTATTTTCCTTCCCACCTGCACAGGCAGGAGAGAAGCCTTTCCCCTCTGGAGTTTCTGTTCTTGGGTTTATGCTTACAGGTCTTTGTCTTATTTCCCCATAATGTTCCTGTTGTTGGAAAAAGAACCAAATTCCCAACTGATCTTATGTCTAAACCCGAAGGAACCCAAATCTATGACACTGCCATCACCACATGGCAAAGGAACGTGATGTCACAGCTGAAAAGTACAGAAAAAACATGTGATGGCATAATGTGGAAAGTGGGCTGACCTGTGAGAGGTGCATTTCTGCCTTAGCCACGGCTAATGTACATGCAGACGGAATTGAGAAAAATGCCTTTGTCAAATAGACTTTGTGTAAATCCTCTGTTTGTGTGAATATCCCTGAGTTGCTCCAGTATGGCAACCCCTCCTGAAAGTACCCTGGGCTTAAGGAAGTCATTGGAAAATGCTGTTCTTTGAGAGAGAAATACAGTTGAATTAACTTGATATGTTGGTCACCCGTCCTCTGTGAACCCAGGGAAGTACCCTGTGCTTTTCTCTTAAAAAAAGAAAAATAAGAAAACACTGCTGAAGGTCATGAGCTGGGAAAAGTGAAATCAGTTGTGGGTTAGTCCTCAGGAGAAATATAAGTTACCCATAAAAAGCTACAGGGCAAGTTTTGATTAGTTAAGTAATCTGGTACATAGAATTTATTAGAGCTTAAAGCTTTCCTGTGGGAGTCCCCTAATAGTACACAAATAGAGGAAAATACCAAAGAAATGCCTTTTCTGACAGACACAGAAAGCTAAATTTATCCTGGCCGGCTTAACACCCATCAGAAGGAGGGATAAGTGCCGCCCATTCGTTCCAGCACAGTGGTCCAGTTTTCGTGTTCTCACACATTTGTGTTTCTGATTAATTTCTTGGTAACTTAATCAATGCTTCCAACACTCTCAAGCTGTTCCTAAGGAGCACGTAGAGAAAAGAGGAATATTGCTTCCCTAATAGACTCAAAGATATCAAACCATTCTGCAAAAAGCTCAAATATAGTAAAGGCCTGTTTTCTCTCATCAACTTGAGGCTCTTTTTCTTAAACCTTTCAATTTCAAATTGAAAATTCAAAAGGAAATTTCACCAGAGTTTTTCTGTTGGTATAGACGTATCCTTAGCTTTGCCGGTATGGCACCCCTTTCTTCTTCTCTTCTCTCCAAAACCCCCTAGAATAAGAGAAAAAGTATCTCTCCTTATGGAAAGAAAGTGCTCACATGGTAACTAGTTGTGGTAACGGTTACAAAGCGGGAGCAGTACTCCTACCAGGTTCTCACAATGCCATTCAATTTCTGTATTTTCCTTCTGCTGGAGGATTTGCTGTCTCCTGTTGCCCTTGCAGGGAGACTGAATGCCAAGAAAGAGCTGCTGCTGTGTGACGCCTGACAGAGGAGATGCTAATAAACATTTGACTCCCAAAACTCACCATAGTCTTCTAGCACAACTGGAAAATAGTGCTGTCTCCCAGGAATGACACAGGTTTCCCACCAAAGCAAAACCTACTTCTCATGTGAAAAATCCCAAAATGCTTGTATCGCTAAGCTGAGGAGATAAAACCCGAAATATGTTCTTTGCTGTTGTTTTAAAATTCTTTAAATCTTCTCTTGCAGGTATTCAGGAGGGGACGCAATGTACCAAATGTAAAAATAACTGGGCACTCAAGTTTTCCATCATCTTATTATATATTTTATGTGCCTTGTTAACAATCACAGTAGCCATTCTGGGATACAAAGGTACGTATGCATCAAGCACAACATATCACTTTCAGCCAACCATCCAAGCGTATTTCCACATATTGGACAGACAGACAATTCATCACATTTTCACCTTAAATATCGATATCTTGGTAATATTGTTTGTTGTATACACATAATCTTTCTTCCGCCACCATGGAGTACTAACTGGAAGACTTAAAGTTCTGTAACATGTGCTATACCTTGATTTCACTGAGCTCTTTTACGTACATCACACCTTTCCAGAATAAATGTTCTTCTTAACGTGAGGGCTAGGAATAGTCTTACTAATATAATCATTATCACAGGAACAAAGTGTAGGATCAATATTACTTTGAAATCTCTGAAGATTGAACCAGGAGGTGGAAATGCATTGAGTTATCTACAGTTATTTTGATTAATAAAGACACTTAGATGCTTTTGACAGTAATTTCAAAGATTCCGGTAGTTGGGTAACCCAGAAAGGGAGAAAATTTTATTTGTGCAAGTCGTTGGTAAGGCACACTGGAAAGCACAGCCTAAAATTCCCATACAACCTCAGTACTAATTAACTGTAGCCACTTAGGCATTCCTACAAAACATCTGCTTGTTGTGCAGTCACAGCTATAATAAGTTAAATAAATGAGACATGAGGTTCTCATAAGAAAAAGGGAGTGAATACATCACTGTGAGTATTATAGCATGACATTGCAGCATGTAGCAGAGAAAACCAAGCTAGCTTTAAACTAGCTGCTTGAGTATGGCTCTGAGAGCAGCTTCGAAACCCCTCCAAGAAGCTGGGTAAATATTCATGTGATTAGCATGCAGTGCATCCTGTGCTGCCAACAGCTGTGCTCGTAGCAGAGCTGACATCACCTCTGGTCCTTTGCCAGCCAAAGAAAAGGAAATTGTAGAAATAGAAAGGGATAAATACTTATTTAAGAGGATTTGGTACAGTTTTGAGTGGGAAGAAAATTAAAACTGCTTGGTTTAGATGGAAGATTTTAGACAGAAAAAGTCACGTAGGTATTCCTTTTTCATGATAAAGCAGACAGAATGGGGCAAATTAAAATCAAATGTAAACAAATGCAGTACATATATAAATCATAGAATCACAGAATGGTTTGGGTTGGAAGGGACCTTAAAGACCATCCAGTTCCAACCCCCCTGCCATGGGCAGGGACCCCTTCCACTAGACCAGGTTGCTCAAAGCCTCATCCAGCCTGGCCTTGAACACTTCCAGGGATGGGGCATCCACAGCTTCTCTGGGCAACCTGTTCCAGTGCCTCACCCCCCTCTCCGTGAAGAACTTCTTCCTGATATCCAATCTAAACCTCCGCACTTTCAATTTAAACCCATTACCCCTTGTCCTGTCACTACAGACCCTTGTAAAAAGTCCCCCCCAGCTTCTTTGTAGGCCCCTTCAGGTACTGGAAGATGCTATAAGGTCTCCCTGGAGCCTTCTCTTCTCCAGGCTGAACAAGCCCAACTCTCTCAGCCTGTCCCCATAGCAGAGGTGCTCCAGCCCTCTGAGCATCTTTGTGGCCTCCTCTGGACTCACTCCAACCAGTCGATAGCCTTCTCATGTTGGGATCCCCAGAGCTGGATGCAGAACTCCAGGTGGGGTCTTACAAGAGCAGAGTAGAGGCAGATACTCCCTTCCCTTGACCTGCTGGCCACAGAAATTCTCCTGAATAATGCATAACTGTTCTCTGGAAGTTGGATTCTGAGGGGGAAAAACCTTTTCAGGATTCAAAAATTTGTTCTTCATCTACAAAGATAAGATCGTTTAGTTATATGGAGTAGGGAAGGACAGACTTAGGCCTTTTGCAGATGTAAATCCACAGAGATCCACTTACAGCAGATGAGGATGGGATCCTTCCAGGTTAGAACCCAGCCACTAAATGCCTGGGATTTCACAGAATTTTCTTCAAGAGAATTTTATGCAAGGCCATCAGTTCTGGGACTCAGCAGAAGACTTATACCTCACTTGGCATCCAAAACAGCATATCAAGTTTGAGGGATCATCGCTCTATATCTTGTTTTGGCAAATGCTTATTTATGTGTTTAGGAAATGATATCAATAAGGAAACTGTCCAAAAGATCTCTTTGTGAGACGGTGTTTCTCTTCCTCGTTTCAGTCGATACTTTGCAAGCTTCTTTCTCCACAGGGGCCTCTAGCACTGTCTTCCCCAGGCTTTGCTCTCACCTTGAGGCCCCATCTTTGCTACACACATTTCTAAACCTCCTTCTTGTACTGAGTAGTCATTGGTGCCTTTCTGTCATAGCAGTACCAAGCCACATTTATCCAGGGCAAGAGCAAAAGAATTTCCTCTCCCACAAAAAAATGGGAAAAAGGTTATAGGAAAGTGGATAACGCACATCTTACTCACAGACCTTAAGACATCTTGGTGATCACTGCTCCACCGCTCACTGGCTTGGTGACTGCTCCACTTGATGCCAAGAGCATACGCTGGAGAAAAGTCCTGTTTAGCCCCAGGTATCCCTTCTGTAATGCCAAGCAGCATTTGGTCTTATGTCAGGCTTTAATTTCACCCTTCGTACCTGCAGCTGAAGAGCTTCGTCTCCACAGTGCCTAAGTGCTAATTTGCAAGGAAGACATGAGTTAGGCAAAACCCCAGCTGATGGTAAATATTCAAAGGAATTATTGTAATATTTTGTGATCGTTGGGAAGGAATTAGGCCTTAAGGGAAGCACAAAACTTAAAATAAAATATTGTAGAGCTCTTGAACTCTCTTCTCTGCATCAGAGTTTGGCTTGTCTTTTTTATTGCAATATTACACTGAAAGAAGGAATTCTGCTGGCATCAGGGATTCTTTCAGTCTCTTAGCTAAGTTGCCATTAAATTTGCCTCCCACACTTATGTTTATAAAGCCCAAAACTACTTTTAAAACTTTCATTTCCTACGTGGTATTCAGATATCCTTTGTGATTTAAAACGTTAAAACTACTAATCAGTGGATTAAATACAGCAGGCAAAAAAAATAACTCAATGGGAGGCAAAGTCAACAGAGAACAAACATCCAAACTGGTGGTAAAAATTACATAGTAGGTTGGAGTAACCTGAAACCAAAACACAAATTAAACATCAAGGTCATGAAGGAATAACAAGCTGAGTTTACTATTAATTTGCTTTGAGAAAACATATTAAATTATTGTTAAAAACATTAATGAAGTAATCTGTAAATTTTTATGCATACTTTCTTAAATTAAATGCAAAATACAAAGTTACAATTTTTCTGGCATCAGCCAGTATTGAATTAGCCTATTGAAGGTGAATGATCTTCCTGTGACTCACTCCAGGGTGGGAAGCTAGCATGCTCTCAGCTTGAACTTCTGGTAGTTCTCATTCTCTGGTCAGTCCTTGTTTTTAAGTTTCTTCACTAAAGCCCACTGTGACTTTCATCTAATTCTTTTATCTATTTCCCAGCCAGAGTTTGTCTGCCATTACCTAGGGCCAACACACCCTGGTGAGATGTGCTCACCTCTGCTTCTGAAATAGTGGCTCAGATGCAGGCAGTTCTCAAGGTACTGGCCAGCAATTACCTGACCTTTGGCTTCATTTGGAGGGGTTTTACCACATTTTCCACAGTGACCTTGTCAGAAAGTGAGACAACGAGGTAGAGAGATCTGACCAAGCTGAGAACTGAGGTGAAGCTATCCAAAAGCAAGCTTAAGGCATAGGCCGACTTCAAAAATTCAGCTTAGTCTGCATCACTGGGGATCCTTGAGCTAACCCTGCAGTTCACCGCTACTGTTTCTTGTACTCCTCTACAATTCACATGACAGGACTGACTTGCTCTCTGAGAGGAAACAGAATTAAAATAAAGGAAATGGTTTTCCTGATATAGCTAATTCTGCACTTCACATCAGTTAATCTGGGTAAGTCATCACCAGTTTAGTGTCAAATAGCCAAAAATCAATACCTTGTGTATTTGAAAGCAGCCTTCTCTGTCCAGCCTCTCTAAACCAGCGTCTTCCAGAAGTGTCCTGTCAGCCCTCCCGATCCAGGGCTGCTGTCTGTCATCCACTTACACACTGGAATCAAAAACTATTACTTTCTGTAGGAGACGAGCTGCTGTGGACTGAAAGACTTCTTAACAGTGCTCATTAGTGAACTTTCAGACACAGTGCACGCATGGTCTTCCCCACATATGATGGTCAATTGTCAATAATACCAGTAAGGCTTCCGACTACAGTCCTGCTTCAACAAACTGTTGCATGTTTCACAAAAAGCATGTCCATAGCTACAGACCAGCTCTGGTCTTTTTAGTGTGGGATGGGATGGGTTTTTTTTTACTTTCAGCAACGAAAAATACCATGCACTGTTGTATCTTTAATTCCATCCAATCTCATCTAACTGCATGTACAGGCTACTACAGTCTGATAGGATTTCTACTATTTTCATTTGCTTTGGACTCTTCAGGGGAATATTTTAACCCGAGTTTCCAGTGTTAGATTTCATTCAGCCACAAAAACATTCTTGTTGTTATAGGTCAGTATAAAACCTCAGTTTTACAAACTTCAGATCTGAAATACAAACTGGCATTGATTTGAACAACAAAAGGAAGAAACTACATTTTCCATTCATCATTGATAATATACATTTATTTGCCAACTCCAAGTGTATTGCATAACTGGAGAAAACAGGTGAATTTTACACTAAATCTGAATTAACAAGACCCATAGGTGATGTGACATTGCTAGTCAAGGCACAGGTCCAACAGAAACAGTTGGAGTAGGCCTGCTTTTTAAATCCAGATACTTTCATGAGGTCCTCCCTAAATGCCCAGACTGAGGCATGTCCGTCACAGTGACTATCCGTAAAAAAAGTGGAACACCACAGACTGAACAAGGAGCTGCCTAGAGCTACCCAGAAGGAAAAGCCAAGTGTGGTCCCCACGCTCAATGCATGTGATGCATAGGTGTACACATGCATCAGTGAAGTGTCCTTTCTGATCTGGGGTCCAGCCTGGAGGTCAGCTGGGTGGGACCAACAGAGAATCAACTCCAGCTTCATTTAGGAAAAATGGCATACAGCATTTTGACAGGTAATGTTAATGGGCAGAAGAACCAGTGAAAAATTAGTGCTATGTTGCGAGGAAAAATGCTTTCTAAAGCAAAAGGTATTGAGCAGTGGTCACCCTGAAAAAAAAAAAAAAAGCACCATTATTGCAGCCTGGGTCTGGTGTTTAGCAAGCAATCTGCCATCATCTCAAATACAGAAAGCCACGCTCTGACTCTGCACACACAGCAGAGTCTGGTTTACTGGCTTGTTAGCAGCATGGAAGGGAGCAGGCAGGCAGTTCACCAAAGGGCATCTGGTCCCTCTGAAAACCTTGAGACTTGTTCTCTGTTGTAACTCCATTCACCTCAGTGCAGTTACACCAGAGATAAGCTTGGTCTGCTATTTCTCCTGTTGGTTTTGGGGAAGCAATAAAAGCCTGCTCTGTACCTGCTACCCAGAGTCAGACAAATAAGGGCAAATGTTAATAAAGAGGGAACGCTTGGTGGACTACACTTTAAAGTTCTGGGATTCTTGTGGTTGCTCATGAGCAGCAAAAGATCCCCTAAATTTCCACTTCTAGTAAAAAACCCAAATCTTTACATAGCAACTTCTATGAGGCGATTTCCTAGCTAGCTGCAGATTATCTCACAGACAGAAAGAGTTAGGAGTACCCCCTGCCCCACACAGGTTTACAGAATTGGCTTCACTGTCTCAAGACATGGGAAGCACATTTCTTCTGTTTGAAACTGGGGGCTGGCACAGTAACTCGTGTAGCCTCTCCCAGGGTTGGTGCAGATCCATTCTGCTCCCAGTGTAGCAAAAGGGCTAAATAATCTCATGACAAGAAGAAATTCCTGCCCCTGGTTGTGGTATGAATGCAAAACCTATTGGACAAGGTTTGGTGTGGAAGCTGAATGCTGCCTGTAACCGTGCAAGCATTTCACATTTTTGCCACTGGAAGCCATCCTGTGCTCTTTATTTGTTGCTTTGCTTTTTCTATTTCCATATTAACTCCATCAAATAATCAGATTGTCTCGGTGACAAGAAAATGACTCAGACATTACAAAATAAAGAGCAAATCAGCTATAAATCTGCACTTGCTGCATGACCATCCTTTCAATCTTGATGAGGCGGAATGGTTTCAAGACTGTTTTGAGCAATCTGTACCATTATCAAGATGTTTAAATGTTGATCCCCAAAACATTTAGTAATTTCATCTTCAAATTTCTATCACAGTCCAAAGCTTGCTATTCAAGTAGCAATTTTTAATGATTAAAAGGCACGGGAAAAAGTATTCTTTTTAAGGAGAAATGGCTCCTAGCAAAATAAAAGGAGGTCTCCTCTCATGCGTCCGAGCCTTTAGCGGTCAGTCTGCCTTTGCCGCACAGCACTGTGCTCGGAGCATGGAAATGCTGTTAAAAGAAAAGGATTTCCTCAGTCAGGGAAGAGATTGCTCATGAGCAAAGAAATGTTTGTGGACTGTTGGCAGAGTGAAGAACTGAAAGAATGTTGGGTCCCACCAGCTGACAGGAGCTCATCCTTCTGACATCTCACAAAGCAACAGCAGAATAGTGGCAAGCAAGGCAGGGTTTTTTGGTGATTTTTTGTTGTTGTTTGATGGTAGTGATGTTTTTTGGTTTGCTTTTTTGTTTACTAGGCTTTTCATAATTTCACTTTTCTTCTTTCTATAACATACTCTTCTTTTTCCCATAGTTGTAGAAAAAATGGACAATGTGACCGGTGGCCTGGAAACGTCCCACAGAAGATATACAGAAAAGCTCACAGAGGTGGAGAGTGGTCTGAAGAAATTAGGTAATCAACACACGAGCAAAGGCCTGTTGTGCTATGGCTTTGTGGTGTTCTCCTGGCAGATAGCAACAGGAAATTTGTCTGAAAAACCTCTGGCTGTGACAAGATACAACACTTCTATTCCAATTTCTCGAGTACTTGGGAAAGCACTTAAAATAGTTAAGATCAGCTCTACTTAGGACAGCATTTTAAGTATTCTTCAATATTTACGGTTCCCACTGAAGCCACTTTGAAATCGTTTACGCTAAAACAAACAGGCACTTAAAGGTTGTCCTCAGGAGAGAGTCTTCTCTGAGGCAGAGATGTAAAACAAAGCAGAAGCTGTTCCGGAGAACACGGCTTTCTACATAAAGTTAAAATCTGTCACCCAGTCATCTTGATTCTGTTTTAGCGATTAAGATTCAAAACTGAAGGCCATTTTAAGGGGTGCACAAATAATCAGCTGTTCAAAACTGTTACGTCTGAGGCAAGTTGATTACCTCCATGAAATGTTTTTTAATCATCTCAGGGAATACAGGACACAAAGTTGTTATGAGTTCAGGTCTCCCAAGTGCTATCACAATTCTCAATTTGCAGGAAGATGAGAAAAGATCATGGGTATGGATTCGCTCACCAAGTGTACATTCCTACCTTTCTTTCTTGTCTGGAAAGGAAGTAGAGCTGTTTATTATCAATTTATATATACGTAGACTTTTTTGTTTATATAATTAGTTTTTATATAAATATTAATATACACATACATCCATGTGCTTCTTCAAATAAGTATTATACAAGCCATATATTGAGACATGTATTTCTAGGAAAAATTAATTGCTTACAGCTTGATCATAAATGTTTACAACTTTTTCCCCTCAAAAAAATAGCTCCATTCTGAAGTATCTGCCCATTGCATTTCATTCAGACACATGGGATAATTCAGTGGCATGTACTTTTGCTGATACACATACAGAAGTAACTGTTATGCCTCAATGCACATGCAACCTTTTGGGTTATATTTGGGTTATTATATTACATTGATTACATTTTCACAACGTGGTGCAGCTTTGATTCATTCATGCCCACACATTTTTACATATGACTGGTTGGATTGCCAGTGAGATGCTCACAACCATCAGTTTCCATTTCAGTGGACTTGCCATAGAGGAAGTTAAAAAAGTTATGGGGCAACGTGTGTGGGAGGCATAAAGGAAAGAGAACTGCTGTAGGGCCAGAGGGATAACAACATGTAGTGAATGAAAGACAGGTCTTCAAGGATTAGAGGTATGTGGACCTGGCAGTTGTCAGAGCTGTGCGAGGAACACAAAATTAGAGCTATAACGGAGAGGTAAATGTAACAGTCAGAGCTGAGAAGATCCTGGGTAAAACAAGTGGCAGGGAGAGGAACTGTGCTTGAGAGGATGTCCATCCATGGAAGAGTCGGTAAACACTTCAGACTGAAGTGTCACAAGCCACCATTTGGCTCACAAGCCCCATCATGACTCATTCAAACACACCAGAATAAAGCTCCATACACAGCTGCTGTGTTCACTTTATTTTATGAAAAACATCCTGCCTTCCCTTGGAGTCCTCTGAAATGATGGACCTCAGACTGCGTAATTCATAAATGTAGCTACCCTTGGATGAGGACAAAAATATATGGGCTGCATGTAGGAGAGGGAAGTGATTGAGGTCAAGAAAGGCCATCATCCTTAAAAGTGAGTGTTCGAATGCTTATTTATTTCCTTGGTTTCTATGTCCTGGCTAATGAGCTGTGCAGCCCCAAAAGCTCAGTCATACTGAGACAAGCTTCCAGAAGTATTCTGTAGGGCAACTGTGTAAGCAAGAGCAGAGATGTTCCTCAAAGATTAAAGGTTTTGCCTTCCTCAAACTCAGAACATGAAGAAAGAATAACAGCAAAGTAAATGTCATTAAAAACAATAGTAATATATTAGGGAGAAAACAAGAAATATGTCATATCCTGTCATATCTGGAGTAGTCTGCGAAGCTTTTGTCTCTAACCCAGATTGTTTTAAAACAGGTACTAGAAATTCTTTTGAACTAAATCTAAGATCTTAAAAAATGGAATTATATGTGCTAAATCACAATAAACATATTCCACCTGCCAGGAAAAGAAGGAAGAAAATGCGAACATCTAAAATTTACTTCTGAGCTTGCAGCAAAATCCAGTTGTGACTTCAAAACTTACACTTAGTGATACCTCTTTGATATTTTGAATTCCGTATACCATTCAGTTTTCATTCGAAATACAGCACTACTTGACTGCATATACTTATCAGTTTCTAGTGCTAGTTTTTCCTGTGTATGACAATAGCATCACCATTTTGTTCTCCTCAGGAAGACACAAGGTCTTTATTGATTCCTCTTTGATTTCTTTTTCTGTCTAGTATCAGAACTTTGCTCAGTGGTTTCTCTTTCATGGAAAAGATAGCATAGAAGTTGTATTGACAGAACATTGTGACAACCTGACTGTACTTAAAATACATTGTGCTGTTTTACATTGTGATTTAAAAAACTCATCCTGAAGACTTTCAATTTTTTTCCTGTACAACAGATGACCAAGCTGGACAAAAAGCCATGAATACCAACACTGAACTGTCTAGCTTCAGATCTGACATTCTGGCTCTTCGTCAGCAGCTTCATGACATTGCGGAGAAAACTACCAGAAACAAAGATACACTGGAGAAGCTGCAAGAGTCTGGAAATGTATTAGATGATAGACAGAGCCAAATGAGAAGTGCCTTAGATAGTAACTCTTTCATGATCATTAGTGTCAATAAGACTCTTCAGGCATATACTGGCTATATCAACAATCTTCAGCAAGACACGAGTAACATTCAAACAAATTTGCAAAACCAAGTGCATTCTCATAATGTGGTCATCATGAACCTGAACAACTTAAACCTGACACAAATACAGCAAAGAAATCTTATCAGTGTCCTGCAGAAGTCAATGGAAGATACAAGCTTGGCTATTCTAAGAATCAAAAATGACTTTCAAAATCTGCAGCAGGTTGTCCTTCAAGCCCGGAAGGACACTGACTGGCTTAAGGAAAAAGTACAAAATTTACAGACTTTGGCCGCCAACAACTCGGCATTGGCAAAGGCTAACAATGATACACTTGAAGACATGAACAATCAGCTCAGCTCCTTCAGTGGGCAAATGGAGAATATCACCACAATTGCTCAAGCCAATGAACAAAATCTAAAGGATCTCCAGGAACAGCATAAAGAATATGAGAACAGAACTTCTGCCAAATTCAACCAGCTAGAAGAGAGGTTCCAGGTCTTCGAAACTGATATAGTCAATATCATTAGCAACATCAGCTACACTGCTCATCATCTACGGACACTGACCAGCAATCTCAATGAGGTCAGGACAACATGTACAGACACCTTAAGTAAACATTCAGATGAGCTGATTTTTATGAACAGCACACTGGCCAATATTCGCTTAGACTCTGCATCTCTCAAGACACAACAGGATTTGATGAGGTCAAGGTTAGATGTTGAAGTTGCCAATTTGTCGGTAATCATGGAAGAAATGAAGCTGGTAGATTCCAAACATGGCCAGCTTATCAAGAACTTCACTATCCTACAAGGTATGCAGCTTCCCTAATGATGCCTGTAATAGTCTTTGCTCAATTCCTGCTTGCATTACTTCTTCATGGAAGTTAGTACACGCTGGTACAGAATTTTCCATTATGTAATCCTAAACTTTGAAAATGTAAATGTAGCTTGAATATTCCTTACCGATTTTCCTGTGCCTTCTCTACATACCTAGAATGGGGATGTTATGAAAGAAGGTTCTGACTTAGCAAAATTTTATTCTGAGTGACTGACTGACTGGATCTGCTTTTGATTTAGTTTCTAAAATAAGCTAGTGAAGGTGTGGAACCTCTAGAAACCAATCTCTGCTAAGGAGGAAATGGCTAAAAAATATATGTTGGACTATTCCCAGAAAGGTCCACCCTTACTGAAAAACAAGTTGCTATTTCACTTTAAGCCAGCTGTTAGTCTGCCAGAAAACATCCTACTTTGCTTAGTTTTTAATCCTGGGATATTTTATTTTCTCCAGAAATAAATAGCATCAAGTTTAGGAGGTTTCTCCCAGCCAAGTATTATCCCAAAAGAAAAGAACACTCATATTTCCAACCTGATGTGAACCAGTCAGGCCTAAAACTCTAATCACAAATATAAATCCATTGCTCCAAATAAACCAAGGCTGAATTAGAGCCAAGATTGCATGTCAGTAACCTTAACCTTCCCCGTTTCAACCAGGCCTAAATCACTCCAGTTTAGGAATGTAGTTCTGCAGGAGTAAATTATGTAGATTGGCGGAGGGGTTGCGGAAGGAGGAGTGGTATTGGCAAGACATTTGCTCATCCATGATCAGAATCCAAATCCAAAATTATTTTATTGTTTATTTCAGTCACAATATTGGCATTTCCTGTCCTAGATATTGTTCTCTTTCCTGTTACAACCAGCCAGTGAGCAACCAGTACTTCTGGTCTTTCCCATAGTTGGCCTATTGCTCACTATCCATCATTTTGCCTCTTTCTGACAACCCACTATTGACAGAGCAACAAACAGGGTCATTGCAGGAAAAAGAGTCCTGTAGTCTAAGAGCAGAGAGATGGGACTAGAAGAAAAAGGGAACATAGCAGAGCGAGGGGACGGGAGCACCAAGACCCAGGACCACGTGTGTCAACAGCACAGATTATGTCTTGCAGGGCCTGGCACCTTGGTTGATCACCTGGGCCATGGTGTCACTGTCCGGTTCACAGGACAAGGTGCAGCAGCTCATTTTGTTCTGTATCCTGTATTTCATGGAGGCTGAGGAAAGACCCATGGTATATAGCGCCTGAGAAGCAGACGTACTTTCACAAGCACTGCTTGAAATAGCTGTTAGTCCCATTTTCACAGTGCTGAATATCCAGTGTTGCTGGTCGGGGATGTATTTATTAAACAAAGACCCCACATGGGCTTTTTGTTGTGTTTTCTGTCTGTATCCCCACTTTGCATGCTTACATTGTTTCAGGCCCTCCTGGTCCAAGGGGACCTAAAGGTGACAGAGGCCCTCAAGGTCCCCTTGGCCCCACTGGTCTGAAAGGACAAAAAGGAGAGAAAGGAGAGCCTGGACCACCAGGACCTGCGGGTGAGAAGGGCCCACCTGGGCCAGCTGGGCCACCAGGAGAAAAAGGAGGGAAAGGTTCAAGAGGATCACCTGGCTCCAAAGGGCAGAGAGGTTCTCCTGGCAAGACGGGTCTGCCTGGACCAAGCGGAGACCCGGGGCCACCAGGTCCACAAGGCAAAGACGGTCCACCTGGGCCACAGGGCCCACCAGGATTTCAAGGCCTGCAAGGAACTGTGGGAGAGCCAGGAGTACCGGGACCTCGAGGACTACCTGGGCTACCTGGAGTCCCTGGGATGCCTGGTCCAAAGGGCCCACCTGGCCCACCAGGGCCGCCAGGTCCAAGTGAACCTACATCAGTGCCCGAGGCTAACGGTAAGCTAGCAACACGCCGTGCGCGTCTTTTGCTGAGATACAAATATATCTAGCAGAGGGTGCTCACCACATACTGACTGGTTGAAATAACCTGTTACCTTAGACTAAATCTCTTGGATTTATCACAAAGAGCCCTGTTAAGTGAGGACATACCTATTGGTCTTCCTTCTGATGACCTGAAACTGATTCAAGCTGATGTTTATTGCTAAAGAAAAGGTGGCAGTAGTATGAGTAATAAATAACACCCTTGACTACACGGCTTAGCCTTGATTTCACAGACTCAGGATCCTGACAAGTAAATTTCCAAACTGTATGTAAGTACTTTAGGTGGCAGCATGCTGTAGAAGGGTATGGGATCCTACATTTATTATTGGCCCTATGCAGAAAGTTGCTGCTGGCCTGTTGAGTTATCGGTAACTGGGATTAACACAAAAAATTCATGTCACAGGTTGTTCTCCTCATTGGAAGAATTATACAGAAAAGTGCTACTACTTTTCAATTGAAAGAGAAATTTTTGAAGAGGCAAAGTTATTCTGTGAAGAGAAGGCATCACGCTTGGTTATCATAAACAACAAAGAGGAACAGGTAATTACCTTCTCTTTCTGTTTTTCAAGGAGAGAATTTGAAGTTATTCAACACATGGAAGTCACAAGGCAAGTGGGAAGCTGAGAGCATCATGAATTCATATAGTGAAGTAGACACAGTGATTGACTCCAGTCAGCATTTTGTCCACCTTCTGGCTGCTCAGCAGCTTCTCTGTGTGCAGAAGGGCAGTGTGAGCAGAGCTGGTGCAGACCCTGAAGGTGGTGGGCACAGAGCATCCAGGAAGGCTGGTGAGAATTGTAGGAGTTTTGAACCTTTAAAGATGGAGTCCATTATGACTTGCATATTATCCAAAATGTGTGTTTTGCAGTGGTGAATATAATTTAATTGTAAATTGTCTGATTTAATACATGCAGCCTAAGACTACTGTGACCCAAAAATATTTTTATTCTAACTAAATATAGCTATACTTTTACTACTGCTCAACATAATTATTTTGTGACTGCATAGCAGTGGGTACTTCAAGATACCACTGCTCACTCTTTAGGTTTTTTCAATCTGTATCTATAAGACATTGACTGTGACTACATGTCAACCAAATTTTTCATGCCTAGCTCTCTCTACCTCACAGGCAAACACTGCTATGGATTCTAGTGTGGGCCAGGGGTTGCAAGGCCAACTCCTGAAACATATCTTTGGCTTAGAAACATTTCACTGTCCCGTCCTATTCTGATAACAAAGATGCTCATGAAACCAGAGTAGCTTATTGGCTCCAAAGGCGGTTGTGTTTGTCTGTTATGGACTAAGGTCTTTATTTCACAGCAATGGATAAAAAGGCAGATTTTGGGGAAAGGCAGCTTCTGGATTGGACTCACAGATTCAGAGAAAGAAAATGAATGGAGATGGCTGGATGGATCCTTACCAACTTACACGTACGTAAATAAAAAACAATGGTGTTTATTTTCGGCAGATGCTACCGCTCTTGCTGACAGTTCTAAAAGTGGCATCTAGAAATTATCCAATGAATCCAGAGGGTTGTAGATGCCAATGAAATAATTTGTTACTGAGGGTGCTGTTGAACTGGTTTTTTCTCTCTCCCTTCTCCATACTTTCTTTCTTTCTCCATGGCTTTCTTTCCTTGCCAGGAAGAAAACTGAATGTTGAATGAAAGAGTCACATAACTACACAGCACACTGTTTCTTGCCAAAACATTTGCTCCTGACTTTTATTACAAAGTTGAGATGGAAAGCACAGACAGTTTTGCTCTCTTGGTTTGAGTTTTCCTTATTTGTATTACAACTGGCTATAAATAGAGTGCTCGTTCTGATAAAAAATGACCAGCTTTTAGATAAAGCTCAGATCCAAGTGGAAAGCATTAAACATAAGGAAAATGCATGAAACGAGGGTGTCTGAGCTTTGGCCAGCTGAGAACTGAATTGGCAGCTCTCCAGGAATCCTAGGGCTACACCTAATTTGTCCTAAATGGAACAGATTGCAACCACCCGAATTTTTAATACTGAGGAGTGGACTGAAGAGTTTATAGAGCTGAGCATGCTGTGCTCCAGGAAAACAGGCTACAGTCAGTCAGATGTTACGAGATGATTAGCTGTGATCTCATTGGTGTTCATTTTGGTGGGAAACATGGAAAAAGTCAGATGCGTTTCAAATGAGCTGGAATATTTTTCCCTTTTTCTCCCTCCCTGTTTTCATCTTTCTCTTTACGGCAGCCCTGTGACTGATTCCTACTTCAGCCACTGCTTTCAATAGGTTTCCACTACACTGTGGTTTTAGATGCCCTGTTGTAACCTCAGAGCTATCAGTTACTGATTTTTGAGGTATTTCATCACTTCTGGAAAGTTGCGTGTCCTCCCAGGTGCCTGGTCAGGCGCTCTGTGTCAGTCAGGCATGTTTTTTAGCTGAGCATGGACGATATCAGCCAGCAATCACAAGCTCCCTTCAACAACCTGTTTCTTCAGGAAAATAGAGCTTTTAAGTCCCAAGGTTGGAAGCGTTTCTCACTTGTTAAACAAAAACAGGATGAGGGAACACTCGCTGCAAGCTTTTCACATGTTGTGTTAAGTTTCACCATCAAAGCTAACGATCTCAGAAGATACATGTATATATACTTTGTACATTCCTTGTAAGTTCAAAAATTCACTTCCCAGCCAAACATGGGTCCATAAACCAGATAGACGAAGCTTTGCTGTGCCTCCTGTGAGGCCCGCCCTGGCGCGGTCCAAGGGCTGGGTGCCTTTGCAGTATGTGATGGTGGGCTGCTGCCATCCTGGGCAGCATCCCTGAGCCAGCCCATCCTTCCCCATCCCATCTGCCGGCAGGAACGCAGTGTGCAAGCTTTGCAGGCTTGGAGCAATGCACGTGGAGCATGGAGCATTCCCACTGTATGTGTCTGTACATTCAGAAACTAAAATAAAATGGTCTAATTTTAGGTCTCTGAGTTTTGGCAGCCTGAGGCCGAATAGATTCCCTTCTCTGTCATACATCTGTTTTCCATTTTCAGCAAGAGTCATGTATTGTTTGTTTCAATGTGTGTTTCCCGTTCAGAACAGATCTCATGATGTTTTTGTTAATTTCTTGCGGTGAAAAACTGTCATGTGTGCTGCGTTGTGCAATCACATCTCTCGCTTTTTCGGTTGAAAGAAACTGGAAAACCGGGCAACCTGATAACTGGAGCCACGGGCACGGGCCAGGGGAAGATTGCGCTGGGTTGATCTATGCTGGGCTCTGGAATGACTTCTACTGTGAAGATGTTAACAATTTCATTTGTGAAAAAGACATGGACAAAGGTAAGCAAGGCACTTGGTTTGATTATTTCACCCTACTCATAGGAAGTTTTCCACAGCTAGAAGGGAGAAGATCCAGGCTAGATGCCATGGCAGTGCCTTGTTGAGGAAGAGGGGGAATCACACCTGCTGCACTTCTCATATACAGGCGTTTCTGCAGTGGCAGAGGGCAGGTGGTTTACATGGCTTCCCAGAGCCCAGCTCCATCACCGCAGAGCGAGGTGGTAGTTGTGTTCATGGTGGGCTCTGCCTCAGTCGTTACCGCCTCCATTCAACCTGTTCAAACATCGCTTTGCCAGCGGTGCCTGGCTGCTCCTGTTGCAAACCTGAAGGCTGAATTTCAGTGAAAGCAGACGGAAATGCCAGGTGGAGCCCAAATTACATGTCATCCACAGAAATGCCCCCCTAAACCAAAGTGCTGGACGAGCTTTTTGTGTGTATAACTGTTTGGGTGTCCAGAGTGAAAGAGAAATGTAATTTGACCTATTTTTCTTGCATACATTTGTTCTTTTAGGAAAACTCCAGGGTTTACAAATATTTGTCCTCTGGGACTTACAGGATCTGAATATGAGTCCACTTACATTTTTAACATACCTTGATCTTCCTAAGTTTTCTTTTTGGAAATGCATTTAATCTTAAAGGCTTTGTACATTTTTTTTTCTCTTTTTCTTTTTCTCTCATACTCTAGGGCAAATATTTGGAGTGTAATAGGCTGTGACTTTACAGATACCTACAGATTATGGCAATTTACTTAAAGAAGAAGAAAATCGTGGGAGAGAGCAACATTGCCTACCAAAAATGAAAAAAAAATAAATAAAAGCAAACACTGAAAACTGGTTCGAATGCATAAAGGAATTCAGCAGCAACTCCTCTCCAGCATCCTGCGATTATTTGCGGCCTTTCAACCCACAGCATCAGGAAATACTGTTGGACTAATTCTGTTACAGGTTTTCTTCCCAACCAGTAACCACACACTTAAGCAACTTCTGTCTCCTGAGAAAAGACACTCTGTCAATCTGAGTAAGACTGTTGGTCACTCATATAGAAAAACATATAAAGCAACTGTGTAAACAGTATGTTTCATTCGCTAAAATCCCAAATGTAGGAAAATTATACAGATACACGAATATATAGATTTTATATAAATATATATATATAGTCCAACTCTTATCAATAATATGGAATATACTTTTAAGAGCTTTTAAAACTTTGTATTTTTGTACAAAATATTTGCTTTTTACAATTGTTCTCTTTTTTACTGACTTTTTTTTACAAATATAGTGCACAGGGGCCAAAGAAAACAATAAAGGTACTAATAATTCATTAAGGTTTGCTGTCAGGCCTAGCTCAGCTGTAGAGAAATATTTTTGCAGTTAGAAATATTTGTACTTTCCCAGATGATTTGTTCTGGTTAAATAACTTTTGAAGCAGATTTTAGATAGCGTTTTCCTTATTATATGCAGTCTGGTCTGTGTGTGTAACAATTAAGTTGACTAAGGACTAGATACTCACCATAGCTCTGATCACAGCCAGTGGTTCATCAGGGTACTATGCAAAAACCATGCTAATAAAAGCTTTGCCTTCCTTCCTTTCTTCCCGCCTGCCTTCCTACCTTTTCCGCCTGCCTAACCTTCCTTCTTTCCTGCCTGCCTGCTTTCCTGCCTTCGTGCCTGCCTGCCATCCTGCCTGCCTTCTACTCATGAGAAAACACTGAAGAAGTAAACCTCCAATTTTTTAGAATTATTTCAAAATGTTTTCATCCCTTCTTTCTCATGAGGAATTCTACCCCAGTAGATGCTACCCATATTGCAAGTCAAGCCCAGATGAAGGACTTGATGAAAGCAGAAACAAAGGAGCTGCACACACTGAAATATGTTTATTTCCAAGACAGATTTCAAAATTTGGGAAGAAAAACATGCCATGCTTAGAAAAATCTAATCAGCTTGCACTTTTCCGAAGTGCTTTGTAAATCAATCTCCCTGTTTTCTTGGACCAGTACTTCTCTCCCATGCAAACCAGGAAATAAAATATGTTGCAAAACAGAAAGCACTGTGGCTAATGAGATGATATCATCACCCAGCCAGTTTCTTCCATGCTCCCATGAGCCAGCATCAAGGCAGCAGTGTTGCTTATTAGGAATTTAAAAAATTAGCGACCACTTAAATTTCATTAGCATAAACCCTGGTTTCTGTTCCTAGTTTTTATACTCTTTGCACAGCCATACGCCATACCATGAAGGGAATTGTTTTGGCTTCTTGGGAAGGAGAGTTGTTTTACCATTGCTTCCTGACCTGCCGTTTGCCTTGGCTGAATACAGACAAGTTGAAATTCTCCAGCTCTGTTGGAAAGAGACAAGATTTTGTATTTCAGATTTTCAAATATCACTTCTAAGACCAATCAATTAAAGACTGCTGTTTTCCTACACCCCACACTCCTTCCGGTGTTCATTTGGGGGGTGGGGGCAGGGGAGGAATGACTTTTTAATTTTAACTATAATTTTCTTAAAGAAAATACACGGAATGTTACACGCGGGGATCTGCCGTGCAGGTACATATTGGGTATGAGGCAGGAACGACATGAAAATTACGTATGTTTAATTAAAAGTGAAAGGTCTGTGTGTGACAGCTGCAGAAACCATGTGTGGCCATCTTGGAGGCGGGCGACAGTCTGAATTTCCTGAGACTCTTCTGTTGGCTTTTTCATCAGGGTTCGCATACATCATATACGATTCTGCCATGCACCCTCTCATGCTGTTCCTTGGAGCTGTGTGTAGATACGCGCTGCAGTGTTTACATATATATTTACACGGTGTCTGTGGAGATAATGTTAAAGTTCTATTTTTGGATAATGAGGTACAAAACTACTAGTTTGCACACCCAGAGAGCCTCACAAACACTCACCACATCGAGTTAGAAACACTCGTACCTTTGTTTTGAATGTTGCCTTATTTGGGCGAAATAAGCGCATTATGAGCACCTGCCATGTTAAATGAAGTTCTTCTTGCCTTTTACTGATGTGATAGACTTCTGCCCACAAAAGTTCATGAGAAACTTGTGTAAGCCCCAGCTCTACCCTTATTTTTTTGCTCTGATTTCATCCTTCTCTCCCTTCAGCAATAGTAGTGATGGAACACAGTGAGATGAGATGATCCAAGAGTCACCTAGTGTCCTCCACTCCCGTTAAAGAGGTTTTCTGCACAGCGGTGATCAACAGCTATAGCTGCACTTATCCCTGCATAACGTTACAGAAATATCAGACTCATAGAATGGTTTGGGTTGGAAGGGACATTACAGACCATCTAGTTCCAACCCCCCAACCAACTAGACCAGGTTGCTCAAAACCTCATCCAGCCTGGCCTTGAACACTTCCAGGGATGGGGCATCCACAGCTTCTCTGGGCAACCTGTTCCAGTCCCTCACCACCCTCTCCGGGAAGAACTTCTTCCTGATATCCAATCTGAATCTCCCCACTTTCAATTTAAACCCATTACCCCTTGTCCTGTCACTACAGGCCCTTGTAAAAAGTCCCCCCCAACTTTCTTGTAGGCCCCCTTCAAAATGGCTGTGTAGCAGCGATAGCTGCTGATCCCATTGAAAACTAGCACAGCAGCTGTGCTAAACTACCAGCAGTTGGGTGGCTTTAGCATGGAAAGAACCATTGAACTCGGACAGTTCCAAGGATGCAAAATGTTTATGAAATAAATACTTGTTCCAAAGTGAATTTCAATGCTGGGTTGTAATTATCTATAATAATGCTCTAATTATCCACCCTTAACTGAGAAACGAAACGTGCCTGGGCTCAAGCTCTCGGTTCACACGTTTCAAGCGAAGAGTGTAGCTGTTAGGCAGAACTGGCTGGAGAGGGATGGTGCAGTTGCATGCCTGTCGTGTTCAGTCATCCTTAAAATCCAGCCTGAGCAGCCAGGCAGAATGAGAAAGACCATCCTTCTGACCTAGTATTCCTGCCGGAGGGAAACGGAGGTGTCAAATGGCAACAAAGATTGAAATCACTGGGAGGACTGGGAGAGTGTTAAGACAGTTCAGGAACGTGTCACGGAAAGGAGAGATTGGCAGGGATGCAAGCAGGACACCAGGAAGGGCCAAGAAATAGTCATGAAAGCCAGAGCTGCCACATGGGGTCTGGAAAACATCCCCATTAAATGTGCTTTTTGTATGGCTTGAGCGATAACGCAGGTTGTATGGGGAGTTTTAAGTGATGGGAAATTATTTTGTCCCAGTTTGAGTTTTGGCTTGCTTTCTCAGGCACAAATACTGTAACTTGGCATACTGAGTACACATTTCCACCGTCCTTTTTCTTGTTTTGCATCAAACTAGATGGAAGTTCATATACCCTGGCAAGCACTGGGACTGTTGCAAGAAGGGGAGGGGAAAGCAGGAGAGGGTGCAAAGTCATTGTGGTTTACATCCAGTGCTGGATTTCTTAATGTCATTTGTGACTTGTTTAATTCATTTGGAAACACCTTCAGCTGATTGGAGTTTATAAATCTCAAACTCTCATCCCTTCTGATGTCTATAAATAATGCCTGCAAATGCTCCAATAAAGGAAGCACTAAGTGGAGACGTGGAAGTGAATGCTGTTTACTCCGTGCCTGCCTGTGTAACCAGGAGAGATGTGAACATCAGAGAGAAGTGGAGCCAGAGGCATTCGCAGGGATTAAAAATCAAACTGATGAAAATTATTTTCATTAAAGCCTTCCTTCCTTCTCGCTTACACCATCCTAGTTCCAAGCATGACTGTTTTATCCCTTAATTGCAGGTTTAGAGCATTGTTCTTGCAGCACCTAGGTGCTAGAAACTTGGTTCTAAAGATCTGAGGTGAACAAGGCCTTTAAGAAGGTATTAAGCAGCAAGAATTCCCTCTTGCACGGTTCACTGTCCCAACACGCCAAGCACCTCAGCTGGGCCCCCGGGTGAAGGATGGCTTGAGGCGAGTAGAGCAGGATCAGTGCCCAGATTGGCCATTATGGCATCTGGCTGAAATTGGCTGCTGGTAATGGCTAATCTGATCATAGAATCATAGAATC